ACCATGCTACATCCTGAATATGGGGATGATTTGGCCATTTCCTCCCAATACACACATCTACAACAGTCAGACGAACACGCATACAGTTAACCTCCCTGGAAATGGAGATGAGTCAGATGCAACAGGACCTACCTGCAATGAATGATGAAACCAGAACACTAAGTAACCATGGTACCTGTTAAGGTGATAGGTGTTAAAGGAAGCACTAACCCAGAGTGCCATCCTCCGGAGAGGCATTGGATCCGCCTGACCATCCTCATATTAGAACAAATTTCCAGAAAAAAACTTGAGCATCTTGAACAGATCCTGAAAAAGGGTTTAATAAATATATTAATCAGGATGATGCTCTTGAGCATGGTGATGTACAAAAGTGCAGCAATCTTCCGTTCAGCTTCCAGCAATTTTGTGAGAAAAACCCATAACTCTTGCCTTCAAACTGCCTTCATAACTGGCTGCCAAAATAGCCGAAAAATAGGGGGCGTAAAAATAAAGGATCTGAAATAAAGACGTACCAACTATGCTATTTGCCTCTTAAGTATCGCACACTGCTGTCAAAGCATAATAGTTTTACCACTTATGAGCAAGAGATTGTAATAACTCACTACAATGGATACATTACAAATCTTTTCATGGAACATTGCTTCCATCAGGAAGGCGGTTCCTGACTTACATCATATAGTGCAACCAAGAAATTGATGTCCATCTGTTTGCAGGAATGTAGTTTGAAAGATAGGAGCACCTCCACCAAACTTGCCTGGATATGCAGCTTATAACCTAAGGTCAACAACTGTTGTGGATGTATTGTCAGAAAGACCTTGCCACATCACTCCTTTCCTTGCAGAGTCGAGTTAATATGCAGTACATGGTGTCAAAGATATGCAGGCGATTTTCCATAAACAGTTTTAATTCTCTATACCCACGAACCAGCTTCGACCGTGATGCTTTAACAGATCGCATCAATAGTGATCACTACCATCATTCTTGAGAATTTAATTGCCAGACATAAAAGAATATTGGTGGGTTTATTACAAACACCAAGGAATACTAAACTAGTGAGAATTGCCGAAATGAGCATGATAATGTTCGAATTGTGGCACTACTGAGCCTACTCACATATATGTGGCATACTAGATCTGTGTCTTGGATTTAATACCATCATATACGATGCATGACTCTGTCCATAGTTGATGATCTTCTATCTGATCACTTCCCCAAGACTAACAACTGTCAGTCATGATCACATCTCCAGCAATTCAAGGAGCTAAATCACAGAGGAGGAAACTTATTCTCAATACCAGAACACAGAAGACAACTTTATTAAACCACTTGGATCATGGTATAAGAATTACGAGCCCACTGGCACACAAAAATTAATGATGATTTAATTACCATTATTGAGAGTGTTTCACACAGATTCAAGTGGGCAGAATAGGAAACAAAGACCCTCCACTATAAATAACAATAAAAACCAATGTAAAGGGGAGGCTAGTAATTGCTCCACGAGCTGCGCAATCTAACACATGCAGCTAGATTGGTAAAGTATACTCGTGAATGTGAACCCCAGACCTGCTCAGAACGTTCCAAGCGCACTACAAATGCAAGTAATAAAAGGAAGAACTTAGGCAACAGGAATGGAAACAGTTTGTTAGTGGATAAAATAGGTCCCCCCCTTTGAGTTTGGCTTGGAAAGGTATAAATAAAAATAACCAGAAAAGACTGGCAATGTATTCATCCTTTCCTCTGAAAAAGCAAATGACCTCTTAAATGACTGGTCCAAAACAATCCAGGCATGAAAGCCCTTCCATCTCCATATTAGAAAAAATTTAGAGAGTACTTTCTGAAGAATGTGAAACTGCTTAATTTTATGAGCCAAAATATTGATGAGAGTGATTGCCTCTTTACCGAGTATGATAAGATAATGCATTAACCAAAGGTCGATTAACTGCTCCTGGAGAGGATGGTATAACCTATGATATTCTCAGAATCTAAGGCACGTGCTGATAACCCTCTGTTGGCACTGTATAATCTCAGTTACATTGAGGGCGTTCTTCCTACTGCTGGACCAATAGTCTCATTGTGCCTATCCCTAAGCCCCAACACCTGATACATTTAGGCCGATCTCCTTAAACTAGTTGTCTTTGCAAAACTTTGAAAGAAGATGCTAAACAATTGTACTACAGAATCAACATCAACTTTCCCCTACCTCTATGGTCATGAAAAGGTAAAAGTGTGCAAACTGTATTTCCCACCTTTCTCACTGCACACACCTCTACTAGTTTTACCACTTTCTGATCTAAAATCTGCATTGATATTGCAAACAGAACCGTTATAAACTCATGAACTAGCCAAAATGAATATGGTGTAGAGCTACTCATGCTGGATAATAGGATACCTGTCAAATAGAGTATCCTCTTTCCTTTACCAAGGCTCAGAAGTGATTCTAAAGAATGTCTTAGGTACACCGCAGGGAGGATTCTTAGTCCCATGCTAATTAATATTCTGATTAATGCCTCTCCTAAATGCTCTACCGCCTCACCTAAACATATAGCTATAAGCTATGCTGATGATATCATGATCCATACAACAGGGCATAAGAAGATGAATCCCATTCTTAATGAAGTTCAAGCAATTTGTAATCGACTAGGCCTCATAATATCTTCTTCTAAAACAAAGAAAATTAACAAGCAACGACATCCCCACCCATCTATTTGCAGGGTGAAATCATTAGCTACGTTAAAACTTACAGATATCTTGGTGTAGATGACCCTTTAACAAATCCACTATACCACAACTAAACAAGAATGTAAAGCTAGGCTAAATGCTCTCAAAGCTGTTGCTGGCTACAATCCCAAAACTATGGTGTAATTGAGAATCGTGAGAATGATGTACATAGCCTATGTTAGGTCCTTAATTGATTATTTCTGTTCCCCTGTTGATATTAGCTAGAGAAAGTTCCCTCCGACCTTGGAGTTAATGCAAAATGAAGCTCTCAGGACTATTCTTGGCTGTCCCAATCTACAAAAAGTTTCTTAACATGAGGAAGGAGCTTGGTATTTTTAGTATCAGTGAAAAGGATTGTTGAAATTAACACTGTACTCGGTATTAGAATGTTAAAAAACGAACCAGACACTGTCACAGTGAATCTTACCAAGTGTCTAGAGGTAAATACACACAGATCTAAATGGATTGTGAAACGTGCAATTGCAAATTTAAATTTTATAACCGCATGAACTGTATCACTGTAGGCAACAAGAGCATTTCACCCCTCCATGGAAATGTGTTCATTTAATATCACAAACCTACAAGTCCCTCCCAGAAGCTCATTGCTAGTAATCCCTTCCTTAAATCTCTTGTTAGAGCAACTGCTCAAGAAAGAAATTTTTCGCCTAGCTGGTAGTAATAAGTTATCACAAGTTATATCACTGATGGATCTAAACAGGAGTTTTTCTGGCAGGGCTGCATCTGCTTTTTGTTGGCACCCTCCCTAGTTAAGAACGATAATAAATTTGTTGGTTAGGCATAAGAATTAAAAAAATGGGCGTCTACACTGCAAACTGAATTGTTTGCAATCCTAATGGCGCCCAAAGCTAAAACCCATGACACTGAGCTTGACTCTATCATCATTACTGATTCTATGTCATCATTGAAGGCTCTTGGCTCATATAATGACTCCAACAAACATGCTCATTGGGGGGGAAGCCAGGGATAGACCCCAAAAATTTGGGACAAAGGAAAATTA